AATGGCGTGTATATGCAGAAGTGCAGAAAAAAACCTAAGATCATGATTTTATATGCAGAACCTATAGGCATAATCTCTAAAATGCAGAAATGCAGAACTTATAAGCATGAGTTCCAAAATGCAGAAATACAGAAGTGCAAAAAGACTTATAGACATGTTGTCTAAATTGCAAAAATGCAGAAGTGCAGAAAGATTTATAGGCATGAGTTCTATGATGCAGAAGTGCATAAATTATAAATAACCTATAGGCAAGTTTTCTAAGTGCAGAAATGCAGAAATTATAAAGGACCTATAGGCAGGTTTTTTACCCTTCGAATGCATTCATCCCCATCCCTTTCCACTAGCCATCCCCAATTATTATTACAAGTTATTACAGACCCAAATGAATCAGAAAGAAAAGTAAAATTACATCAGAAGCTCCAGCTACATCCAAACAGCCTAATTTAGACTTCAAGGTCCAACAATATGAGATAAACCAACTTCCAGGATCAGATTTCCAAAAGACTTTCTCATATTTGGAGTGTGTCAAAGTTTCCAAGAGTCTCAAAGGGCTCTGGGCAGTGCTTACACCCCAAAACATTGCAGAATTAAGAACATAGTGCAGTGTGGAAATGCCAGCCCTCAGATGTCCAAGTTCAGAGGGAACTCAAGGTCCCAAGACAAGGCTCATAGGAGGGGGGCAGAACTTAGAGTCTAAGAGTGAGTGTAAGTGCATAGGGGGGAATCAGGGAGAGCCATGGCAGGCTGGTGGTCATGCCCAGCAATTGGGATACTAGCACACCCCTGACTAGCCTGTTAGCCAAACTTAACAGTTAGGATCCATTGTGGATCAGGTTATGGCCTGAGCAGTAATTAGGATACTGCCAGGCCAAGACCTTAACTCAAGCACATAGAAGGGAATAGAGGTAAGGATTCACACTAGAACAGAAGCAAAGAAGGAAAAATATTTAGCATAAGTTACAGAACATGAACAGTAAAGCAAACAAAGACTGAAGCTATAGAGTAAACACATAGTGGTGAAGTAGAAAGTTTAAATAAAAGACATACCAGTTTCAAAAGAAAACAAGTAAGAAAATAGTAGCATTGAGAGAGCCAAATTGCAAACAATAGTTCCAAAATCTCAAGCAAAGCAGAATTCCAAATAGTATTGCAAGAAGGAAAGTAAGTAGAAGCGTTTTTGCTCGTGTATTTCAGTGTGTATGTTGGTGATATGCAATGTGTTGGTGTCTTTGTAAAGAGGGAAGACTAGTCTTTATATAGTTTTGAAAAACAGGCAATACATAGGCAAAGAGTGCACAAACATGGAAGTAACAATCAATTAGTATCAATTAAGACAACTGGACTCCTTTAATTGAGGAGTCTAGTTGAAATGGCTAGTCTAGGCAGAATAAGGAAGAAAATCAGTTTAATAAGGCTGGTAAGGGCAAGGAAACCACATAGTGCATAAACAAGACCAAATACATAGTGAGTAATTAAGGAAAGGTTGGAATAGTAGTGTGTTTATTAAAGTAAAATAGGGCATCAGTTCGAAAATTACTCCAGGGGATCCCGGATCCAATTGTGATCACAGGGAATCCCAAGTAATTAAGGAAAGAGTCATATAAGTATAGAAATAATTCAAAGATTGGTGCAGAATTACAGAAGGTCATGTATTTAAGGAAAACATCACAAGCATAGGTTTTTACACAAAAGAATCAAAATAAGGAGGTTCAATCGCAAGAAATCAGTAAGGAATCATTAGCCTTATTAAAGGGATTTCGAAATCAATCACTTAGCTGGTGAAACCTTTTAGAAAGAGGAGTTTTTTTTCTCATATAAAAAGCATACAGCTTAAGCAAAGAAAGAGTCTAACAATGAAAGTTCCAGAGTCACAAGCAAACAGGATTTCGAGTTTCAAATACAGACTCACAGCGAGTCTGGAAATCTAGGGTCCCAAAGCGAAACCCTAGTGCCACTTATCGGAGAAAATCCCCAAATCCTTAGGGTTTCAAATAGAATCAGAGGAAGATGTGAGAAATCAAGATCATTGAGAGTCAAACATATGATTCAAAGTCATGCTTGAGGAAAAACTTGGAATCCAAACAAGTTTCAGAAGTTTTAAACAAAGTAGGTAAAAACGTGTTCAACAGGAACATTCAACAAAACTCGGTAAGGTGAAACAAAGTCAAAGAGCTCGGACTTAAGCACATATAGCAAAAAATGATGAACAACAAACCGAGTTAACATGTGAACAGAAAAAGTCTTGCACAATCGGAAAAAAAACAAAAGAGCAAACAGTAAGAGGAAGAACATACGGGTATAAGCACACATAAAGAGAGAGCAAAAGAGTCAGAACATACGGGTATAAGCACACATAAAGAGAGAGCAAAAGAGTCAGAACACATTTAAAGAAACTTTTTCCAGAAACCCTAAAAATCGAACTTGAACAATTTTAAAAAGGAAAATTTGGGAAAAGCCTTAAAACGTCAAGTAAAGACCAAACATGGTATAGATCTAAAAAAATGAGCAAGTATAGAACCTTAGAAGGCTTAAAAATGGCAGAGAAGACCCTAGAATGAGAAGGTCTTGAGGAAAGTCGGATCCTGAGTCGAAGAGACTCATATTGCTTTGAACACGCCGGAAATGGCCGGAGAGGCCATAGATCTTGCAGATCTGAGACAGATCTAAAGGAAGCCATGGAAGTCGGCCTTCGAGCTTTGGTCAGCTTAGGTTTAATGGTGAAGGAGAGTGAGTACAGGCCACCTCTGGCCAAGAATGCCATGGATTCCGATGGAAATAGGACGGAAGTAGGTGGGATAGGGCTAGGGTTCCGGAGAGGGCTAGAGAGGATCTGGGAGGTGAAGAGAGTTCAAAGGCGGCACATCTGATAGAGTGAATTAGGGTTAGGGGGGGTATGGGAATTAAAAAAGGAAAGAACGGATCATGTCCGTTGATCAAAATGATCAACGGCCAGGATTAAAAAAGAAGCTGGGCAGGTCTGAAAACGGTTCGTGGGGTTTGGGTTAAAATTTGAAGCTGGGTTATTTTGATTTGGGCAGAATTGGGGGTCAAATTGAGGCTACAATTGAAATAGAAATGGGCTATGTGTTAAATAGCCAATTTCCCCCCTTTTTATTTTATAAAAACAGTTAAAATGATTTTAAAACAAATTAAAAGCACTGAACTAATTAATAATATATAAATATTGATCTAAAAACACTGGAAATGACTTTATAATTGTAAAATGTTGTTAATCATAAAATAGGCTATAATTGCAATTATATGCAATTTAGCTTTAAAAATACCAAATAAATTTATCAAAATATGCAAAAATCACCTTAATTATACTTTGGTGTAAACATGAGAATGGAAATAAATTATTCACAAGAATGATAATTTGAGAGCAATTACTGGATTTTGTACTGATAAAATAGATAATAAATTGATTTTAAAAATCTTAAAATTAGGGAAAAATACCAAAACTCTTGGGCATGCTTATATATGCATATACATGCTATTTTGAAAGTATTTCAGTATAAAAAAAAGACATAGAAAAAAATTGGGTATCAACAAGAATACAACTAATAAATTCAGTATTAATGCACACATATGTCTATTGGGCATATATCTTTATGCTACCTAGAGCAGTCTTGAAAAGAATAACTTCTATATGTACGAATTACCTCTGGGATGGGAGGGTGGACACAAACATGGTACCAATGATAGCTTGGGACCTGGTGTGTAGACCTAAGAAGGAAGGAAGGCTAGGAGTTACCAAATGTGTGAGCTGGAATGATGCTGCTAATGTAAGGAATATAGCCTAGAAAGCAGATAATCTATGGGTAATGTGGGTTAATCACCTGTATATAAAAGAAGAAGATTGGCGGGACTACGAAGTACCTCAGGACAACAACTGGTATTTTAAGAAGATATGTCATATCAAAGACAAAATGGCAAGGGGATATGTGAATAACCACTGGATCTCTCAAGGTGGAAAATACACAATAAAAAGTGGATATGAATGGATAAGGGGAAGCCAAGTACTATGGAAACATCGAACTTAGGTGTGGAATAGCTTAAATATACCTAAGTATAGCTTTATATGTTGGCTAACCATACATGGTAGGCTACAAACAAAAGACAGGCTTGCACGAATAGGAATAAGCCAGACAGCCTATGTGTGATATGTGGTCAAGCAACAAAGACCATATCTCACTTATTTTTTGAGTGCCATTTCTATAAAGCATGTATTATTGAGATATTACAATGACTAAGGATAGGAGTGCAGAACATGGAGCTGGAAGGTCTTTGGAAAAGAATCACAAGAATTGTAAAAGGGCGGCTAAGGAAAAACTTTGTCCTCGCCGTCATGTCTGCACTGACATATGGCATATGGAAGGGAAGGAATGAAGCATTGTAGCAAAGCAAAGTCCCAAAGCCACAGAGCTTATGCAAGCAAGTGAAGGAAGAATGCATACATCGGATGAGAGATTGCCTGAATCGAAGGAAGAAGGAGGATGATAGGATATGGCTGAGAATTTTTTTATAACTAGAACAATATAGGCATGTAAATAAGTAGTAGAATTTTAATTTTGTTGGAGATGTCTTATGAATGCTGTTATTTTCTGCTCTTTGGCTATAGCTGATGTATATGTTTTGTTTGGTGATGAATAAAATCTTTCTTTCACCAAGAAAAAAGTTGATTCTAAGAATGTTAAATTTTAAAACTTCGTTAATTTTGATTCCTGAAATTTTGCTAATTGACTCTTAATAAATGACCTATTTTTTATTTCTCTTGCAATTGACGAATTTTTTATACTACCATCTAAAGATCTTTTTGAACAAAATAAAAATTATAAAAAAAATATTAGACCATGATCTAAAAATTTTATAAGTTACAAAAATGTTAGATCACAATTATATTTTAAGTAAATTAAAAATTATATGACCAAACATTATCCGAAAGGAAGTAATTTTTCAAAGTTATATTTATATGTCTTTTTTAAAATAGGATAAAATCTAAACAGTAACATAAAAAGGGGACATCTGCTTAAATCAGCCCCAATACATTACAGGCTTTTGGCGCAGTACTAGTTCGCCGTCCAAAGTTGGTGTCGCCGGAAACCCTGAAAATTACTCAGCAATCAACGACGATGGGTGGTGATCGGAGCAATAGCACGAGCAGCAGTGAAGAGGACGGAGATGCTGATTGGAGAGCTGCCATAGATTCTGTGGCTTCCACAACTACATTTAGCAAAACTACCGCCAAACCTCATTCCTCATCCGCTGCTACTAACGGAGATGAAGTAGATACTAAACGACCCCAGAACCTCAAACATTATCAAATAAAGGTACTTTTGCCCTTTTTCTTTCTCATTTGCTTACCTGAAGATTATTCATTGTAACCCTTGTTAACTGAACCAGCTAATGCTCCAATGATGTTATTCTAGATATCCCCTCTTTTTGATAATTGCGGTCCCTTTCATTTAAAAAGTATACAAGGTTGGATAAAAAAAATTCAGAACTATATCTATGTAGTATGTACTGAGTCCGATCATATTGTGGTACAGTGATACTCCTTAGCCACTGACTTAAAAATTTGGAACCACCTCCGAGTGAAAAAAAGCAAAAACAAATAAATGACAGGGGGATCGGGAAATACTTTAGTTTTCTTCAATGTTAGCTTTTAATATGAAAATTAAAACTAATGATGTTTTGAAAATAAATGTCTTTCATGGTGCACCATTATAGTAATTTTCCCTAAGGGCCTTCAACCACTTTTTAGTCTAACATATTTTTGCTTCTACGGTCATTGCTTGATGAATCAAATTCAATGAACATTAACAGGCCCAGAAGACTTTGGAAGACATCTTAGACAAGACTATAGAAATAGTGAGAGACAATGATCGTGGTGCTTCGCAGGAAGCTCCCTCGACGAATGGAGGCGGAATCCGATTGTTCAAGCGTGCTCCACTTGGGATTGTGTTTGATCACACAGGTAAAAGAAAAGAAAATCTCAAGCAAGTAATCTGGCGGTTGTTACATCCCTGTGCTGCTAAATGTGTTTGTTGGTTTTCAACATGCTTAAATTCCAAATTTGACTGGATTAAAAAAGAATCACTGACGCCGTATTTAGTAGAATTAGAAGGCTAAGGTTGTTATTATGTTAACTTGCTTCCACTTGTATGATAAAAATTTATTAGATGCATAATGGAAAAGCCGTGCTACAGTGTACAGGCATATTGTTTACCTATTCATTTATTCTTAATAAATCAAAATACTGTGACTAATGAATACCAAGTCGGTGTCAAAAGTATATACAATGTGGCTGGCAGACAATATTTTTACCAACACCAAGAAAGGAGGTTGGGCCTGCTTGACAATTACTCAAATAATTGATAATAGTTTTACGCGTTTTTGTTTTCCAACAAAAGGAATAATCTGCTGAATTACTACCCTTATATGTTGCCGCAGTTAAATCTTAAATTCCATCAGAAATTTGTTTTTAGGAGCCAAGTTACCAAAATACGGAAGTTTGGGGAGGAGGGGGGGGGGGGGTGTTTTGTGCATTCCACTCTACTTAGTACACTAATATGCTTGGAATTAATCTTTTTGATCGTCACTGCTTGACGGAGAAGGTCAATTATGTCATTGAAAGGAATTGATGAAACTTGCATATAAAGCTGACTTAGTAAGGGCAAAAGTATTAGGCATATAGTGGGGTGAACACTAGATATGTGGACATAAACTTGGATTTCTCCCTTTTCTGATTTTATTTTTGATAAGGGGGCACGGGAAGGATGGGCGTGGAGAACTAACTGTATTTGGACGGAATCCGCTGCAGAAAGGATTCTTTCCTCAATGACTTACAGGAGGGAGAAACTAGGTGAATGAGGTGGTTTTTAACTATTACTTGCCCTCCTTCCTTCACAAATTAATACGAAGCAACTATAGCTGCATATTATTGAGAGAGTGCATATTATGTGCATATCAGTAGCAAGACTGGAGTCTAAAGCTAAAACATTGATGTCCCTTATTTTTGCTAGATAAACTCCAACAACCCAGGAAGAAACCAAGAATTCATCCTGGGAAGGGAACTGAGGAGAAGTCAAAAGAGGTTTGTCTTTTCTACTTCTTGTTCTGATTCATAGTTCGTCAAAACTTTTATTTTGAATTCTCTTTCCACCTGCAGTACTTTGTTATTTTATCTTCTCACTTGCCCCATTATTATTGCCACAGTTTAAATACCAAATCAAGTCCGTTGCTGTTGATGGGATGGATATTTTAGCTGCATCAAAAAATGCTTGCCAGAAATCATTGGCTAGACTAGAAGCAAGAGAAGCAGCAGTTAAAGCTGCTGCTAAAAGAGAGGAAGAAAGAGTTGCAGCACTAAAAGGAATTAGGGGGGAGAGATGGCTCCCTTCTGTTGCCAGAGATATGCAGTTAAGGCTTCAACGACGTTGACACCTGTAGATGGACTAGGCTTCCATTATTCAGCACTCATATTTCATTCTTTTACTCTTTAAGGTTTCTAGTGCTCATTACAGCCTGTGTTTATGTTAGGCTACCTGAGCCTCAGAAAAACACGCCAACAATATTCTAGTATTGCTAAAAGAAGAAAGGTTTCTTCTGATTACCAGTTAAAAAGTCTGGTTATTTGGGCTGCCATTGGCGAACAATTGGTATCAAGGCAAAGCGTTTCTGTATTCATTTGCAGCTGAAGATTGCTCGTGATAGTAAATGCCGGCCAGTGATTCTATGGTCTTTATAACGTGTCTAGCGTGCTTATAGTACATCAGATTTTCAGACCTAATTGAGCTGTCTTCTTTATGATTTAGATAGTTGATATATGGGCCTAAAAGGCACAGATGTTTGACCAGCAAGAATGACTTGAGTTTCTGAAATAAAAGGAGCATCAATCGAAGGTTTGAGTGCCATGAGAATATTAATTACGACGTTAAGCTTTGATAAGTAGACCATGTACAATGCAAATAGATGGAAACAAGAAGTTAAAAATACATGTGGATTATTAGTGTACAATCTCAACCAAACAACTCTTCTTCTATTGTTATCATCTCCTTCTCAATGACAAATCAGATACAAGCCAAAAGTATCTCAGAAAACTTTTAACAGAAAGTATTGAAATTCCTAATCCTTGGTTAATCCGAAACCACCTAGGAATAATCTCCGACTGGTGTTTTCTCAATGTTCAATCAACAACACTCATGGTGTAAATACCTTCAAAACCTCCCCTTAGTTCTTCTCAGCATATCTGAAGAAATTGAACCATGGGATGCTGCACACTAAAGATAAAAAAGGCCCTCAAAATAGGTTGTGGCATTACAGCAATTCTCCTAATTATTCTTCTAGTCGTTGGTATTGTCCTATATTTCACAATCCTTAAGCCAAAAGATCCAAAAGTCACAATTCAGTCTGTCACATTAGAGTCCATTAGATTTGAGCCATTTCCAGCATTTCATCTCAACATAACAATTGGCCTAATTCTCACTATCCATAACAGGAATTATGGAAGCTTCAAGTATGAGAGCAGCAGAGCTTATGTGACTTATCGCAACGATCCAGCAGCTGAAGCACCAATCGAAGCAGACACCATCCCAGCTAGAAAAGATCATGATGTCAACACAACTGTGCTAATTAATTCGGACGGCTTCTCTAAGAATCCTGATTTCTTAGGAGATTTATTTTCTGGTTGCTTGAATTTTACTTCATCCACAACTTTACATGGGAAAGCCACTGTGTGGAAAGTTTTGAAGCTCAAAGCCACAACTGTTAGCACATGCGACATCTCAGTTTTCACCAAATTCCAGAATGCAAGTTCTCTCTGCAAATCCAAAATTAAGTTCTGATTTATTTTTTTGTTGTTTATGATTCTGCTATTCTTTTGTCTAATGTTTCCTGTTGACTGGTCAGATGAAGTATCCATACCAATAAAATAGCAAGAGCCATCTTATATTGAAAAAACCAAACCCAAAGGCCAAAAAAATCGATCTTGCTCTTAGAAACTAAATGTCAGGATTAGGTTCACTTCAAATAAGATCAGGGGATTAAGGAGACATCCGCCAAGTTTAGATGTGTAAGAAGTTTCAGAACACAAGTTTAAGGAGCAAAATATCTATTTTCCTTTCCAAATTGTACTGTATAACACTTGGAATCAACTATTTACCCTTGCATGCATGACTGCCTGCATTCATGCGGATGCTTCTTCAAGGGTTAATTAATACTAGTACTGTTTTTGAGATATTTGTGGCATTGACAGTCAGGGGCGGATGTAGAGTTTGGCACCCAGTACTTTAAATACGCTAAAAACCTTAAAAATTGAACCCATAAAATCTAAATCTTGATCCGCCTCTGTTGACAATTTCTTTAAGTAGTTTCTGTCGTCGTTGAAAAAACTATCATTTCTTAATAGCTTGTCTATT